TCCGTATTTCTCGGTCTGATAAAATGATCTCCAGTGTGTGTGAGATTGTTCGGTAAAGAGCGGCAACTGAAGAAAGAACAAACAATGCTGAGCGCTTTCGGGAAAGTTTGGTAATAATTGGTAGATTTAGCTCAGCAACGTTCCGCTTTTGACACAAAAGCTTGAAAGGCCTCCTCCAGGTTGGAAGGATTGAGGACCGCGTGCATAAAATTAACTGTAACGATTGCACTGCGTGCCTAGGACATACTGCCGGAGAATCACAAACCAGAATTGGTGAGCATAAAAGGAGGATGAACAAAACACCGCTTTAAATATCGACCAACCTCGTAATCTAATCACTTGGCCTAACGAAGATTTTGTGTCATTTGCGAAACGTTGCCCAGCAATAAATCTACCGATTGTTACCAAGTAAATATTTATTATTGGAAGGATTGAGGACCGCGTGCATAAAATTAACTGTAACGATTGCACTGCGTGCCTAGGACATACTGCCGGAGAATCACAAACCAGAATTGGTGAGCATAAAAGGAGGATGAACAAAACACCGCTTTAAATATCGACCAACCTCGTAATCTAATTACTTGGCCTAACGAAGATTTTGTGTCATTTGCGAAACGTTGCCCAGCAATAAATCTACCGATTGTTACCAAGTAAAAAGCATATTTATTAAGCCAATATTTTCAGAGCAATGAAGTTCCCGTGAAAAAAGAGAACAACTTTTGCCACGAGATACCACGTCTGTTGATAATTTGATGACAGCTAAGTGTAATATAGACGTTAAAGTAGAAATTTAGTAAAAAGATGCTCTAGAGTTCATGTAAAATGGAGAAAGTCAAGCGGTGCAAGCAGTTATCAGTGAAGGGCTACATGATTTCGAGAGAGATAAATGGGTTAAATTGACTGGGCCTTAACTGTTTATAGCCTTGGAAATGAAAGATGAAATGCACTAGAGGGATAAGCTGGAAAAGATTTCACTTGAACAAGGCGTGTTGGATGGAATAAAAAATGTCAGTTTAAAGTGCTAAATTGCCATACTCAGGTGTGACAGACAAGCAGAAAGGGAACAGGGCTTACAAGCTAATATCACCATCCGTTTCTGCGTACCTTAGAGTGATAAAGCGGATGACTACAGGGTCTTCGGAGAGTGAAAGCCTATAACTATGTTAGCCAGATTTTGAGCCACATTCAGATATTGCTCCGTTGAGCTGTCAGAATCGTCAGAGTGTACTCACGGACGAATTTTTCCAGGTCCATCGCTGTTCACATTATGTATATGAAGCCACATATGCGGGCATATTGGTAAACAAAACATCATGTGTGTGGTGTAGGAGCACCAACTCACCTCTCGATGGTGCTGATGACTTCTCAGAGAACCGTAACCGAAAAACATTGTTCGATTCCCGAGGTGCCTGAATCAAACGATACTTAATTAGGGAGGTGACATTATCGCACTCGACCTGCATCGAGAGGTAGACTAGCATAAACGGTGTCGCTGAGACCACATCACTGTAGTGTCCACGATATGAACACTTATCGTCGAACCCCACAGGAAGGCTGACCCTTAACCGGCAGTTGCACTTTTCCCCAAAACATTTTTAGTTCGAATAAAGATGTTTGCGTAAAAATGTTGCCTTTTGATGTATGTATGCCCAGACCATAAACCACCCCATTCTGCCTTAATTTTGTTGGATTTTGATTAAATTATTCTCCCTTCAAAGTTTTGGCTCGTATTCAATTTTAATGTAGCAGTGTTATGGCTTCAGATGTGTTTTTATCCTCTATAGTATTCGAGAGAGCGTCAAATGAACACAAGAAGAATAACCATGGGGTATTTGTGCATGCAGCGAGTAATCAAAACATCAACACTGATTTGCCCAACGAGTGGGTGTACTAGGAATGCAGTGGTTGGCCAACAGAACCAACTGAAATTCGGGGAATCCAAAGAAGCCAGTAAGCTGGACGTATGTGCTGATGAGAGACAAACACCGGTTGTCCAGGACGGTTTTGTCTGAGGAGGCACGGGAACCATTTTGTAGCCACCTCTTATTACGCTGAACACAATCATAAAGTTTCCGAATTTTTGTACGACCAGCTTCGAGCGCTAGCCGAAGAGAATTTGGGCGCCTGCAGGGCTCTGATGAAGTATGGATGGCCGTTATATGAAATTCGGCAGTTTATAGTCGATGAATTATGCAAGGTGCCCACAACTTAGGAACTATGCAACCACTGTCAGAGGTGCTGATCATCTTCGTTGAGTGATTGACGGATAGTTGAGCAATAAATCTACCGATTGTTACGAAACTTTTCCAAAAATGATGACTACTCAATCGGATTGAACATAGCTACGGACTTCATGTTCGAAAAATTTCAAACGAGTACGTTCGATTGATGGGACTGGAGGCTAAGTGGGAAAATCATCGAGTATTCAACATTAGATGCTTAAAGCACAATATTCTTTCCAAGTCCCTGATTGTGAAGCCCCGGATACTTCAGTTGCTTCTGCAAAAATTGCTTTGTCAGTGGTCGAGTCGTTTCTCACACAGAGGATCTACCTAACCACTCAGCGATTAAGATATGTACGTCGCCACGCCAGTCGACTCAACCAAGATCTTCAAACGGCAATCTCATCCGCTGACTTCCAAATGCTCGATACCAAATCCAAAGAAGTGAAACTTACGCAGGGCCAGCAATGCAATAAAAGGCATATACGTAAATTCGATCAACTGCTTTCCGTGACTCAGAGATCTAGATAGGTCACAGAAAAGACCAAACCATCCGCCAATTACTTTAGTGTAGTTAACTTGTCAGAGAGAACCCTGAGTAAATACGAATACTGCTTTTTAGAAAGGGGACTAAACTTTGCAGTAAGCAAAGAAGTAATTAGAGTCGAGGAAATAATTCCTGCTTTTGAATCGGTGTTTCAAAATCTTCCTTCCGAGGAGGCTGAGAAGATGCTAATACAGTTGGTCACAGTCCTGAAATCCAAAAATCTGGAGGCTGCGAATGTTGCACCATCAGAGCGGAGAGCGTTTAACACACTGAGACAGGTAGATAGCATTGTCATTACCAAGGCCGATGAGGGTAAAGTCACAGCAGTAATGAAATAGAGAGAATATCTTTCGAAGATCAGGCAACGCCTCGCCAATGAACCCTATCGACAAATCATCGGTAACAGTATTACTTCAATAATGATACGAGTAAAGTTGAAGCTGGGATGGTATAGGCTCGCCACCACAAAAGCCAGCTAGATCCTTAGCTGGTATTTTAAAACAACACATGGGGATATCAAGCATTTCCATTAGGAATTTGTACGACTTTGCCAATAATGTCGCAGAGCTGCCCGTGGAGATGGACGAAGTCCCAGTTCTAGCTAATATTTATATGGAGGACTTTGAACAAATGGCCTTGGCCGGATATCACTGTCCACCAGAAGTTTTCCGGTGTTGTGTTGAAGATACCTTTGTTGTTATCAGACGGGATGACGTCAACAGCCTCCACGATTATCTCAATAGTTTGAGTCCACACATCAAATTTAGCATGGAGTTAAAGTCCACCTTGGGCACATTACCCTTCCGGGGCCGTATAACACATGAGAGTGGTGGGAACTTAAAGGCTACGGTCTACGAAAAACCAACAGACACAGGAACCGTCTTAAAGTACTCACCAGCACATCCGAAGTATGTGTACGCCAGTATTGTCTTATCGATGTTTCGTCGAGTCAGAGCACTCTGCATGGAAGAACTTGAGCGAACGGCAGCTCAAATCGAGATTGCCAACAGACTCCAGGAAATAGAGTACTTAGTGATGTTGATTAAGCGTCAACTAAGAAGGATAATGGTTTCGGTATCTAGAGCCACTAGGGAATGGATTCGCACATCAGTCATTCCATATAAAGCAGAGACATTGGGGGTTATTCGAAGATTGTTGAACTTAGCCAACATTCGGGTAGCTTTTCAGAAGGGAAAGACGCTACGCTCAGTTTTGTTGCAAATGAAAGATCCCGTGCAGGTTGAAAGGACTAGGGGCTGTGTGTATAAAATTAATTGCAACGATTGCGCTGGGTTTACAGAGGACGAACTGCCAGGGAATTGCATACCAGGATTGATAAGCATAAAAGGGGAATAAACAAACCACCAAGGAATGCGGAAGAATATCGAACCCTGGTCAAAGACTCAACGATGGCGGTACGTACCTTAGACATGGAACATAGAATAGACCCAGTGGAAATCACCAAGCTCCACATCGTGAACAGTATAGATGGTGTATAACCGACAAGCTTGTGGAAAGCGGTCTTACATAAGCCGAGTTGACACGTGACTGTATGTGATTGCTAATTCACATAGCCAAAACATGGGGGGGGGGAATCCCGACCTGACCAAAGTTCACAAAATCCCTCTTACACAACTATCGTAGCGCCAGCTTATCGACACAGACGGACGGAAAGTGTAAACATGAACTAGACAAGAAGAGCTCGACTTCAGGCTGGACCCAAATCCATGTGAGTTCCCCCATAGGCCTAACACTTGGTGACCCACTTCAACACGCGATAATCCTTCGGCCGACACCTAACAGGTTTGGCTCGACTTAGCTGGTCGGTTCACCTTCTGCCTTAAATCTCGACATACCTTTTAACTTAGTCACCTCGCCTTACGAAGCTTTCGTGTACAAAGCTAAACGTCGCCCTGCAATCAATCTATCCATTGTCACCTAACTTTTTTTGAAAACGATCACTACTCAATCGATTCCAAGCCTTTTTCAGCTGAATGCTTTCCAAGGTGTAGTAAGCGCTTGCACAGCCAATAGACGTACATCATACACAAAATATCTGCTGAAACATGGTCGAGTATGAAAGTCAAACGCAAGAATGTGTATTCAACTCCATGTGCCATGTGCAAGTAAGTAGAGGGACAAACACAGGCCACTGACCTCGGCCTTAATAAGTTCCAGTCCAAGAACTGCCTTGGTCGATTGAACAAAACATATTCTTCTATATGAAATGATCATCGATTGGTGAACCAAATATCAGCATCACAATTCATGGTAAAAGAGTTGAGTTGCTGGCAAAAGAACGATTTAAAGCACCGTACATCTGCCTCGCTTTGTTCTACAAAATTTCTCCATACCCATCCGAGACTATACTTACGTATATCACAGCTACCGAGCGATTAGGTCAGGATGAATGAAAGACGTTGACGTGAGTGCCCTAAACTTCTCAAAAACGGGCCGTCCCAAACAGCGGAGGTTTGGGACGTAACAACACTTTTATGGAGGCAAAATTGACGATGAGCTGCAAAACCAGCTTTCGACTTGCTTATTTTTTTGAAAGTACTACTCACTCAACTTTTTTACTATCTAACTGAAGTCTCCGCTTATTAGTGGTGGTGTCCTAAATAATTGGACTCACCCAAGTCTTTTCCTTCAGAGGTTTCACTGCACATCAGTAGGACTGCCTCGAGCATTGACATAACAATATGTACAGTATTATTACACACATGCATCCAACTCGTAGCTGCTATTCTCTTGAATTTGAGGAAACTGGGTGAACCTGACCGCGTCGACAAGAGATTCATGGCTATCTGATACTGGCTCATCAGCACTCCAGCACAAGAAGTGTCGCGTTCAGATGAGGACAGTAGAAACTTTCATGATCAGCTACCAGACACTCTCATGTAAATTCCTATTTATGTTGTGTGTTTACAAATCTGGCGTTGGTAACGACCTGGAAGTCTGTAAAAATATATGGAACCCAACTGACTTCGGATACAAGAGCGACAGCGGTAAAAGTTTACTGATGACGTGTGCAAAACTGGTGCAGTACATAGGCCATCAAATGACTCTATATATCATTTCGCGGCAACGTACTTGCCAAAGAAGTGATGCGGGGCAAACAGTGATTGGGATCACCAGTTAGTATGTGCCAGAGTGCGCATTTCACCTAAAAAATTACCATCTCTATCTACAGGACTAAGCCAGGTCAATTTGTTTCTTAAAAAATACTGGAAGCAAAAAACCGCATCAAAACTGGGCGGAGCATTGAAGCAAGGGCCAGTGGATAAGTAAGCTCTAGGTACACCTGAAAGCCGGTGTTCATAATTGGATGAAAAAAGAACAGAGTCTGGTTTGATACGCATGACAAAAGAACAATATCTGCTTCATTGGAGGTACTTTGAAGTTTACCAAATGGAGCAATAATCCATAAACATGGTAGCTGGAAACCATCTTAAGAGCGCTCGGGCGAGGCCTCTGAATTACCCTCAGAATGCGAAGTTGAATTTACGCTAGAGCGAAGACTCCTGCCCCAATTCAGACCATCGTTATCCCAGAGGACTTTTCACAGGAGAAATAAATGTCAGGCCGGGGATTCCAGTAAATTCACCTGACAGAATACACGCAAACAGTGGAAAACTTCAACAAGCCATCCGGGATTCCGTTACCAAGGAAACGCCGAATAACTGACCTTCTGTAGGAAGAACTAATCGGGGAATAATGTGGATTTCGAAATGGCCGAATTAAGTTTTTCTTTGCCCAGAGGCAAAGATAAAAGGAATGAGGCAAGGGATGATCCCAATATTTGGTGAACTGTTTGTGGACTTCACTTAAGTTTTTCTAATGGGTCCAGATCAGATAACTGAGTCGAATGGGGCTATGGTCTCGCTACAGCCATTTTTACTCTCCATTTATGAACCATCTGCGCAAAGACATTCTGTGAGTGTGAAGAGATACCAATTCAATACAGGTTAGGTGGTTACTTGTTGTATATGAAGTATTTCTTGGTCAAGACACTGCTGTGTGAGTTCAATGTTCATATGCTGCTGTTTGCAGACTACTGCCCCTTAGTTTCGTATTCTCAGGTGAAATTTCAGCAACTGACTGCAGCATTTCAATGAGAGGTATCTCTTTTTGGCTCAAGTATGGATATTCCAAAAAGGTTTACCTTCTGTGAGATTGCACCGCGAATTCAATGTAAAACATCATGTATTCTACCAAATGGTTGTAAGATAGTTAAGTGTTTAGCTTTTGCTATCTTGGTAGCAGGCCGTCTACAAATCTGCTAAGTGAACTGAACTCACAAAATGCAAAGCACGATATTAGACACTTCTGAGAAGCGCGTTCGAAGCGATCATCACTTGCGCACTGATACTTAGATTTCTAAGTATCGGAGCATTGTGGTGTCTTTACTACCGTACTATATCTGGATGCTGTGCAAACGATAGTGTCTGCGCAAAATTTATTCTACCGGCCCGAATACCAAAAACCGGAGTACTTCGAGAAGCAAAGAATTTAAATCTGAATGCAGTTTGATAAGGAACTGGCTTCGCTAATAAGGACACTTGAGATGGCTGGCCAGAAATCTCAAAACAGCTTGTCAATGGTCAGCTAAAGAAAATTCAAAATTTTTCCTACCGGAAAAGCTTTCAGATAAGTATGAAAAATTATAACATACTTTTGTGAGTGTAACCCAGGCCATCAGTTCTGTTGAAAGGCTATCTAAGTAGGCATCGGAAGATTTCAGGGGCGATATTTCTTTACACTGCAAGATAGACAAAGCATTCAAATGGAGCTTACCTCCTTAGTGCAGCCTGTACCATATGGACTCCAACGACATGTCGATACAGACCTTGTAGATCAGCAGAACGTGAGTAGCTAGAAATTGAACAAAATTGTTCCATAATCTTGTTAAGGGGGATATGGTTCACGAAATGCCACCAGGAACTATGGGGTGTGTGGTATTACGACAAAATTTAATGAACTCGGTGTATGATACCGGTATCTCGATGTTAAGCAGATAACTGACCCGGTTCTAGTTATAATACTAGTACATGTTGGCTGGGTGATGACTTGTATCGGGACTATGCACGTTCGCCTGCCGTTCTGACTCTCTCTGGTTCAGGCTGGCTCACCTCGCGCGCAGCATCACATTCGGTTACAAGCAAATTGTGAGTCTGTCTAAATTGGTGCAACCATACAAAAGTTTGATCACTGGTGACCGGCAATCCCACTGTAGTGTCAATAATTCTGTGCAAATATCCTATCGCCTAGGGGTGGACACTTACAATAAAGGCCTGTTCTGCAAAAAGAGTGTCGATGGTCTCGAATAACCTGGATGCTCTCTGGGGGGTTTCTATGGGACAATGCATGTTTACCACACAAGTACTACTGGAGAAGGTTGACAGTGGCGTCATTTGAAGTCAACATTCTTTGTTGACCGCACTGCTGTGTCGAGGAAAGTAAATTGGGGTTAACTTGGTTATTCGCAAATACCGTATACAAACGACACAAGAAGTCCAACTCAAGGATGTCAGCACCTTTCAGATAGACTCAAGACATTCACCTTCCTGAGGTCAGTACTTTTGAGGTTGTCCTGAATATTATGTTGGAAGAAAGGCCTATTGATGGTTGAAATCGCCGGTACCGATCTCTGACCAAATTTATTCGAGCCGACAGGACTTAGCTATTTCATGCAGCATTTTTAACAAATTTTTGACACTCAAAAGATATGAACAGTATCGAGCATAGGTTAAAACGTTCCAAAAGGAAAAAATGTCCCTTAGCATTTGGGCAACCTTTGCACAACTTGTAGCATACAAGAGACTGTTTTACATGGGTTTACAAGCGTGCTGTGTTTGTCCTATGCTTATAAATGACAAGTGGACCATCCTTTGTTTACTCCTATTCTGTCGATAAAACGGTGCACCTGCCTTTCCAGGCAATGAATTTCAGAGCAGATTTGACCAGTGTCGTATTTATCAAGTGAATATTGCATCAGACACCACCAAACAAATAATCGATCAAAATTATTGCATTTTCGTTCCCTTGGGAACAACCGGTGGAATGAGATTATCCTAATTGGAAAGCCGTCTGACTCAAGTAGTTCGCTCAACATGACAAACGGCATTTTCCCACATCTTTTCACATCTCCTATAGCAGAACTACCGGGCACTCAGGCTATCCAACAAATATAGCCTTCTGTTGCTTTTCTCAAGCCGAAGCGGATGGTAGGACTTTGTGCGTCGTCCTGTTGCGTGTGTTTATAGTTTTTCGCTGGAAACGTAATTTTCCTTCCTCGTAACGATATGACGGCTGTCAAAAATTAGGATTTTGATACAAATGACGACGTCCGGTAGCACAGTGTGTAGGAGAATTATGAATTTGTCTATACCGTAAAACGAGTTTACAATTACCTTGGTCCAAAAACACGCATAATTCTTTTGAACTGGCAGGAGTTGGATCCAGCCGAGAATAATTATAATCCACAGTACACTCTTTGGGGAATCGTGAAAGGTTGTTCCAGGACTACAGAATATTGAGTATCTAGTTCCTCACGTTACTGAGGGCAATCTCATTTGGGCAGCCTCTTGAACAAGAAACACTGTTTTGAGTTACCGACAAAATGACTGATAATGCAAAAGTCCATGGACGGCAGGACACTTGCTGTTGCTGAAACCTCATGAACGAGGTTGTCAGGTTGATAACTGCAACGGCATAAAAAAAAACAAAATAAGTCATTTAAAAAGGTAACACAAGAAAGTCATCGTCTTCTGATGGCATTTTTTCTATCCTCGAACATTGTTGATCTCACAGTATTGGAGCAGCTTCGAGGAGAGGAAAATCACTCCTCATTGTGGCAGATGAATATCGTCTAGGCATCGATGACGTTGCACAAGCGTGAAAACTTTTGAATTTCTGCGTGAACCCTCAAGTGTGTTCAATATGCGCTGGTGAAATAATGTTGACAGGCTCGCCTCGAACGTCAGATGTCCGTAGTTCACAGCTCGAAAAGGCCAAGTATATACAATAGTGAAGCATTCCAAAGGACGAACAATCGAGTGCGGTGCTTCTCGACTGGAGTAGATAGACTGGATGGACTTTTAGTGAACTTACATTTAATATTATGGAGCAAAATCTCAATTTTAGGTGATACATGGTTGTCTTTGGAGAAACGGTGTTCACAAAATTACCGACCTTAAAATTGGGGCGTGATTTTACTGACGAAAAACTACAACTGTCACAAGTAAATTTTATTTTAACAAATAACATGGAGACGTTCATCAAACAGATCAGTTTACTCACTTTTAGTTTTTGGACTCTTATTTGTTCCTTGGAAATAAATTATTTTTAAGCCGATTTTCCTCTGCCGCAATGGTCTTCGTCATGGGCCGTTCTTCGTGCAGACTGTTTGTTTTGGGGCATTATCAGGAAGTCACATGAGCAAATATTCACACACCTTGCATAGTTTGGTAGGAAAATCCAGGGTGGAAAAATCTGTAAATCTGGTCCGCATCAAGTGAAGTCTATCATATTTTATGTTTTGTTATTTGTTGTGATTTTAAGTACACTGAGCACTAACGCAGTGGTGGATTACTGGAGGCTTCTTTAAAATCGAGCTGGAAATAGAAGACGTCGTCGAGGGCTCAGCTACTACTGGAGACACGCAAATTCTCAGCAGGCAATTCTTCGGATATCTGCTTTCCTCACTGCGTTGTAGATAGGACTTGTCAGTGGCGTGTTTGACATTATTTTTATTGACCGTTGAGGCGATCTTTTCAACTTCCATATTTTACCGTGCCAATCATCAGTTTACTGCATGAAATGGGCGGCCATTTTCGAGTCTTTCCAATAAACTGCTTCACTTAGCACCGTCATTGATGGAAAAATAATGCCAGGAAAACAGTATTTTCTTAAGAAAACAGCATATTTGCCATTGAAAATGCTCATAAAAGTTTGAGACAGCCTGTCGACCCAGACAAGGGACATTAAACAGAGATGGTAATACCAAAAAGCGAACCCATGAGCGCTAAGGATTTATTCCAGCCTGTCGAACATAATTTTCCACCTCACTTGTTTGTAACTGGATGATTTTAGCTATGAAAATCCAGGTACACGAGAGATAATTTGTCATAAGGACAGATAGGACGAACCACAAATGTGAAAAGACCACACTTCAAACCGACGTATTTCGTCTGAGGCTGATATTGACTTATTGTTCTGCTTGTTTGTTCCAAAGTGCATCAGCTATGATGCAACGCGTTGTGTGTTCTCCTATTTCGAGGTGAAACTTAACCTTGCAAGCAAACGTTTTAGTTCTGTGGGCAACTCTGGGTGCAAAATCAAGCCTTTGTTTGATTCCTTTAATTCTTAGACAACACGATTGTGCCCAAAAGAGGATTGATAACGGGACAACCACATGGTGGTATTAATTCACTTGACCTACTCGATATAACTACACTTATAACATGAACGAATCTGCAAATGACCGACTTCTAGCAGTCAGAAGCAATGGTAGCTAGCACGCATACATCATTAAACAATAGCGCTGGAACCTTCGCGTCATAATGGGCTAACGTTCCCTTGTAAAAAATACCATTTCAATGAGAAACACGCAGTTTTAATAACAGTGACCTTATCATATTTGCACCATATCCTATAGGTCACAAATAAAGTTGAAGAATCTCGGGTGAAACTCCTAATTATCTGGATTGAAACGCAGCGGTCAGCTTTGCGTTGAAATTGTAGAATCATATTGTGGGAGTAACCATCTTTTTTAATGTCTCCCGCCACTAAATACTGAATGATACCGTGGGCACAGATAAATAAATTCATTGGTCAAGTGGTTCCGCAACATTTAATCAAGATTCTCCCAAAATTGCTGACAACATTACTAGATTTGAGAATTTCAACCGTGTTCTGGTCCTTTTTTTGCAGACTGTCAAATCCAATTTATGCGTTCTCGGCTGTTTCATCCTTATTGGGAAACAACACCAGTGCGTATCTCACGAGTCGCCAGGACAATTTGAATCCCCAATAAATACACAATTTTCGCTATTCTTGCGAAGAATTTTTAGGATGTAAATATTTCTTTAAATTTCGAATCAATATTCCAAAGTGGTGGGGCAAATGCACCCTAAATATTAGTAGGTTTGTTCCAATATTTTATCGCAACTGGTTCTGAATATCGCTTTCGGTGTTTCTGATCGATTAAGGACACTTCACAAAACCAAACATATGTAGTGACTATGTTGCTTACCTTTGTCAGAACGAGCAAATCTTTCGCTGAATCATTTTTTGTTTGGCCAAGCTTCGATCCGTCTGCTCAACTGACTAACTGAACTGATAGATAACGCAAAAACTGAAAAAGTTACCATGCTGAAAGTCTGTTGATCAAACAGAGTGAAACATGTATACATACAAACATATCTTTGTTTCGGATTCATAAGGGAAATGGAGCGCATTCGCCGGCATCATTTGTAAAAATAAGGAATGCTCGTTGTACTCACACATTCGTTCTATCAGTCAGTCTTTGTGATGCAGGACTGCGTTTAAGTGTACTAGGACTAATTTTTGTTCCGTACATTTACAAAGGAAAGATAATTTCACTATGTGTAACTTCCTATTGAGAAGTCACTCGAGGAACCAGTCAATACATGACCACGTTATGTGATTTTCCGTTATGTCCTGTCCTAGTAAGTGCCAATCACGCTACCGATCAGCAACCCATCGCTAAATATCCAGGAGATTGCCGGTTCGAAACTCTGAGTTCTGTGCAAAGAGCATGGCTGATGGTTTACAACAATAATTAAACAGATGTTTAGTGCCTCTAGGCTTTTCAGCGTAGAATGAATTGGCTGGCAGGATGAAATCCCTATTTAAGTGGAAATAGCGCGGTCATAAAATAGTCCATGTTAGGAGCGCATGTCAGGAAGCACGTCGTTCTCCAAGGCTCATCAGTATTTTACCACCCTCTTTAAATTTCAGTTTTATTTTGCGGGAACAAGTTTGCATTTTCTGCAGAGTGACCGTCTAAAAATGAGACCAGAAACTATGGTCACTCCGTAGACCCCCATAGATATGCTCAGATTCTCCGACCGCTCTATGGAACCTGGCTACCGTCTCACAGACACAAAATCCACTCGGTCACCGAGGAAGGTCACCTTGCAGAAGGTTTAAACTCCTGCAAGATGAATTAGGATTGTCACATAGGTTTAGTTTATATCCATCAAACTAAAAAGGCTTGTAACATCTTAATGTTGCGGGTCGGTTGAGACCAAACCTAGTAGACATTGCTCATCAGTTCTTTTTGGCGGCACAAAAGCCTCAGTTTTCTGGACCACCAATCTTTTGGTCTGACTAAGTAACCACGACAACTGGTTACTTTGAATTTCTCTCAACATAACACAATTAAGGTTAACCGTAATGAAAAGATGGACGATATGAATGATTTCTACAGACAAGTAGAAGTTTATTATCATTTATTTTTGAAAAGCGTAGTCACAAACATAAAAAGTGAATGCAAGCGATGAATGCGAAAGAGTAACAGGAGAACATGGGAGAAGAGAGAGAAACTTCTCATTCGAAATCATGCCAAGGACAGCGCCAGTCTGATGAGGTGAATCCCAGAGTATGTAAAAATTTTGGTATGGGAACACGCATCTAAAGACCAACAACCAAAGAAAGGACAAACAATGGTGAATGCGCTTCAAGGCGCAGTGTGCGCTAGCACAGTCAAGACTCGCACATCAGGCACA